CGAGACTCCCTCTCAAAAAACAAACAAACAAACAAAAAAGCGGCAGTAAATTCATTAATCAGATTCACTGAAATGGTTTTAGAACAACTGTAATTGCTCAACTTAGACGTCCCTCTCCTTTCTCCCCAAGGATATTGTGTATGTACTATATAATTATAAATGCATAGTATTATATAATATGAAATATAACATATAAAATATAAATGTTAGTTAATTATGTGAGTGAACATTTATGAGAAACATTCAGATGATCTCCCTAACATGAGAGCCTGGAGGAAAGTGGGACTATCACGTCTGTCTTACAGGTTTCACCTCCCCAGAGCTCAGCCACTTAGTGCTGTTGCAGTTTTCCTACCACCTCTGCCAGCCAATCCTGTCTGGTTGGGAATCTGACCTCCCTATTGGCTATGGCAGACCTTTAAACTGCCTGCTTTGTGACATCATTCTGCCACCAAACCTACCACCACCTGGTAGAATCTTGGGGTTTGCTGGGAGTGGCCTGTACATTTGTATCATCGCAAGTGGCCAGTGACCAGTGACCGGTGACCAGTGGCCTTCATACTGGACACATGCACTCGTTGGCTGGAGCCACCCACACATCCGCTAGTATCGTCTCTTCATCCTTTGTATCTGCAGTTGATGTTTCTTCTTCTCTGACCATGTCAGGTAAAGAAAGAAACTTTTTAAAAAGGTTTTCATGAGATTTCTTTCCCCCTAAATTTAGATTCCTTTCCCCCTATAGTTCCAAACAGCTTGGAATAACAGGGAAACTCTTGAAGTAGAAATCTAGAGACTTCATTTCAGTTCTGCCTTTGATATTTACTAGCTGTGTGACTTTAGATAACTTATTCTCATGGAGTCTGTTTCCTCATCTGTTACATTAGGATAATAAATTGGTTATTCCTTCTGGTCCTTTTCTAATACTGAGTCTTAAAGGGTATACATATAGAAAATGAAATCAGAGACTTTCTGAGAGTGTTCATTTCAACAGAAACAGAGAAAAACCCAAAGTGGCATAGAAAAGTAGCAATATGTTCTGAGATGTTTCATTTGTAATAGTCTCCCTCCACTAATATTTCTACTTTCCTATTTTAAATTTAGTGACGTTTAGTGATGTTTTAAATAATATTCAGTCAGGCACGGTGGCTCACACCAGTAATCTCAGCACTTTGGGAGCCCATCTCCCTCACTAATATTTCAACTTTACTATTTTAAATTTAGTGATGTTTACTGATGTGTAGTGATGCTTTTAATATTCAGTTGGGCGTGGTAGCTCATGCCTGCAATCTCAATGCTTTGGGAGGCTGAGGTGGGTGGATCGCTTGGGCCTGGGAGTTCACAACCAGTCTGGGCAACTGGCAAGACCCCCATATCCACAAAAACTTTTAAAAAATCAGCCAGGGTTGGGGACATGCCAGCTACTCACCAGGCTGAGGTAGGAGGATCAGAGGACTGCTTGAGCCCAGGAGGTTGAGGCTGCAGTGAGCCATGTTCACACCACTGGACTTCAGTCTGGGCGACAAAGTGAAACCCTATCACAAGCAAACAAACAAACAAAAGTAATATCCACGTTTTGGAGATTCCTATCTAAACTAGGTGGAAAGACAAAATGGAGAGTACTGGGTTATAAGGAGGCAGGTATTCTAGGGTAAGGAATTTGGGATTTTAATTAAAGCAGAAAGTCAGTGTCCCCTACTCTTTCCCCTTGGGATACGCCCTGGAAAATGACAAAATGATTTTAAAAGAATATATATATATATATATATATATATATTTTTTTTTTTTTTTTTTGAGACGGAGTCTCACGCTGTTGCCCAGGCTGGAGTGCAGTGGCGCGATCTCGGCTCACTGCAAGCTCCGCCTCCCGGGTTCCCGCCATTCTCCTGCCTCAGCCTCCTGAGTAGCTGGGACTACAGGCGCCCGCCACCACGCCCGGCTAATTTTCTGTATTTTTAGTAGAGACGGGGTTTCACTGTGGTCTCGATCTCCTGACCTTGTGATCCGCCCGCCTCGGCCTCCCGAAGTGCTGGGATTACAGGCTTGAGCCACCGTGCCCGGCCCAAAAAATATATTTTAAATTTGAAAAAATGTAGAGGGACAAAAGAGTGAAATCTATTCAGAGTAGGGCAAAATGAAGTTGGATTGAGCAAATGCTTAGATCAATGGAGTAGGAAGGAAACGCGCTAGAATACAGTGTCCCTAGGAAAGGCCGCTTATCAGAAGTCATATTCGGTCAGTTTTTTCTGTTGAGTTTTCACTTTTTGAGCATAGTTGACATTTGACAGTTTTTTGTTTTTGTTTTTGTTTTTTGTTTTTTGGTTTTTTTTGACACGGAGTGTCGCTCTGTCACCCAGGGTGGAGTGCGGTGGCCGGATCTCAGCTCACTGCAAGCTCCGCCTCCCGGGTTCACGCCATTCTCCTGCCTCAGCCTCCCGAGTAGCTGGGACTACAGGCGCCCACCACCGCGCCCGGCTAGTTTTTTGTATTTCTTTTAGGAGAGACGGGGTTTCACCGTGTTAGCCAGGATGGTCTCGATCTCCTGACCTCGTGATCCGCCCGTCTCGGCCTCCCAAAGTGCTGGGATTACAGGCTTGAGCCACCGCGCCCGGCTGACAGTTTTTAATATAAACATTTTAGAAATATGTTTTAGAGGCCGGGAACGGTGGCTTACACCTATAATCCCAGCACTCTGGGAGGCCGAGGTAGGCTGATCACCTGAGGTCAGGAGCATGAGACAAGCCTGACCAACATGGAGAAATCCCGTCTCTACTAAAAACACAAAATTAGCTGGGCGTAGCGTCACATGCCTGAAATCGCGGCTACTTGAGTGGCTGAGGCAGGAGAATCACTTGAACCTGAGAGGGGAAGGTTGCGGTGAGCCAAGATCAGGCCATCGCACTCAAGCCTGGGAAATAAGAGCGAAACTCAGCTTCAAAAAAAAAAAAAAAAAAATGAAAGAAATATGCTTTAGAAATGATGCTTCCAGGCGGGCGCGGTGGCTTACACCTGTAATTGCAGCACTTTGGGAGGCTAGGCAGGCGGATCGCCTGAGGTCGGGAGTTGGAGACCAGCCAAGCCAACATGGTGAAAGCCTGTCTCTACTAAAAATATAAAAATCAGCTGGGTGTGGTGGTGTGCACCTGTAATCCTACCTTACCTGGGAGGCTGAGGCATGAGAATGGCTTGAACCATGGAGGCAGAAGAATGCCAGTGAGCTGAGATCGTGCCACTGCCTCGCCAGCCTAGGCGACGAGGGAGACTCCATCTAAAAAACAAACAAACAAACAAATACAAACCTAATGATCAATTCAAGTATCTCTAAACGCTTACCACCAAGGAAAATGATTATATCCATAGATTTCCTCCCCTAAACCATCTTAGTCCACACGTAAATCATTAGCAACTCGGCCCTAACTCATTTTATCACAGTTACTAGAGAAGTTGGTGAGAAAAAGCACGAACTAGGAAAACAAAACCCAAGGCAATCCAGGTCAGCTTGGGCCTGACTGCAGACATCAGTTCCTTATGCCTGGAACACAGCACAACTCACAAAGTGTCTTTTTTCACAGATCTCCTCTTTAATTTCTCCACAAAACCCATCAGGTCACCATAGTGCATGATGTTTCAAAATAAACAACCACTAGGAGAAAACCATGCAGTATGTCTTACAATGTTGTATTCCTTAAAAATATGACATGAAAAAAACATGTAAAAAAACCAACGCCTTTAAAAGTAATCTACAGGCCGGGCAAGTGGCTCACACCTGTAATCCAGCACTTTGAGAGGCTGAGGAGGGAAGATCACTGGAAGTCAGGAGTTTGACACCAGCTGGCCAACATGCCTGAAAGCCTGTCTCTACTAAAACTATAAAAATCATTCTGGGTTGTGGTGGTGTGCACCCTGTAATCCTACCTACCTGGGAGCTGAGGCAGAGAATGGCTTGACCAACGGAGCAGAAGATGCAGTGAGCTGAGATCGTGCCACTGCCCTCCAGCCTAGGCGACAGAGGGAGACTCCATCTAAAAACAAACAAACAAACAAATAAACAATCTAAGGATCAATTCAAGTATCTCTAAAAGCTTACCACCAAGGAAAATGATTATATCCATAGATTTCCTCCCCCCAAACCAGCTTAGTCACGCGTAAATCATTAGCAACTCGGCCCTAACTCATTTTATCACAGTTACAAGAGAAGTTAGTGAGAAAAGCACGAACTAGGAAAACAAAAACCAACGCAAGCAGGTCAACTTGGGCTGACTGCAGACATCAGTTCCTTAAGACTGGGAACACAGAGCACAACTCACAAAAGTGCTTTCTTCCAGACCCACCTTTAATTTCCTCCACAAAACCCATCAGGTCACCATAGTGCATGATGTTTCAAAATAAACAACCATCATGAGAAAAACATGCAGTATGTCTTACAATTTAAATTCCTTAAAAATATGTAGAAAAACCAGAGCATTTCAAAGCAATGTACAGGCTGGCACAGTGGCTCACACCTGTAATCCAGCACTTTGCAAGGCTGAGGTGGGAAGATCACCTGAGGTCAGGAGTTTGAGACAGCCTGGCCAACATGGTGAAACCCTGTCCTTACTCCCAGCTACAAAAATTAGCCAGGCATGATGGCAGGCGCCTGTAGTCCCAGCTACTCAGGAGGCTGAGGCAGGAGAATGGCGTGAAGCCAGGAGGTGGAGCTTGCAGTGAACTGAGATCATGCCACTGCCACTCCAGCCTGGGCAATAGAGCGAGACTCCCTCTCAAAAAACAAACAAACAAACAAAAAAGCGGCAGTAAATTCATTAATCAGATTCACTGAAATGGTTTTAGAACAACTGTAATTGCTCAACTTAGACGTCCCTCTCCTTTCTCCCCAAGGATATTGTGTATGTACTATATAATTATAAATGCATAGTATTATATAATATGAAATATAACATATAAAATATAAATGTTAGTTAATTATGTGAGTGCACATTTATGAGAAACATTCAGATGATCTCCCTAACATGAGAGCCTGGAGGAAAGTGGGACTATCACGTCTGTCTTGCAGGTTTCACCTCCCCAGAGCTCAGCCACTTAGTGCTGTTGCAGTTTTCCTACCACCTCTGCCAGCCAATCCTGTCTGGTTGGGAATCTGACCTCCCTATTGGCTATGGCAGACCTTTAAACTGCCTGCTTTGTGACATCATTCTGCCACCAAACCTACCACCACCTGGTAGAATCTTGGGGTTTGCTGGGAGTGGCCTGTACATTTGTATCATCGCAAGTGGCCAGTGACCAGTGACCGGTGACCAGTGGCCTTCATACTGGACACATGCACTCGTTGGCTGGAGCCACCCACACATCCGCTAGTATCGTCTCTTCATCCTTTGTATCTGCAGTTGATGTTTCTTCTTCTCTGACCATGTCAGGTAAAGAAAGAAACTTTTTAAAAAGGTTTTCATGAGATTTCTTTCCCCCTAAATTTAGATTCCTTTCCCCCTATAGTTCCAAACAGCTTGGAATAACAGGGAAACTCTTGAAGTAGAAATCTAGAGACTTCATTTCAGTTCTGCCTTTGATATTTACTAGCTGTGTGACTTTAGATAACTTATTCTCATGGAGTCTGTTTCCTCATCTGTTACATTAGGATAATAAATTGGTTATTCCTTCTGGTCCTTTTCTAATACTGAGTCTTAAAGGGTATACATATAGAAAATGAAATCAGAGACTTTCTGAGAGTGTTCATTTCAACAGAAACAGAGAAAAACCCAAAGTGGCATAGAAAAGTAGCAATATGTTCTGAGATGTTTCATTTGTAATAGTCTCCCTCCACTAATATTTCTACTTTCCTATTTTAAATTTAGTGACGTTTAGTGATGTTTTAAATAATATTCAGTCAGGCACGGTGGCTCACACCAGTAATCTCAGCACTTTGGGAGCCCATCTCCCTCACTAATATTTCAACTTTACTCTTTTAATTTTAGTGATGTTTACTGATGTGTAGTGATGCTTTTAATATTCAGTTGGGCGCGGTAGCTCATGCCTGCAATCTCAATGCTTTGGGAGGCTGAGGTGGGTGGATGCTTGGCTGGGCCTGGGAGGTTCACAACCAGGGTCTGCCGGGCAGACTGGGCAAGGACCCCCCATAGTCCACAAAAAAAACTTCTTAAAACAAAAATCAGCCCAGAGCGGTTTGGGGGGATGTACCTGTGCCAGCTACTCACGAGGCTGAGGTGGGAGGATCAGAGGACTGCTGAGCCCAGGAGGTTGAGGCTGCAGTGAGCCATGTTTACACCACTGGACTTAAGTCTGGGCGACAAAGTGAAACCCTATCACAAGCAAACAAACAAACAAAAGTAATATCCACGTTTTGGAGATTCCTATCTAAACTAGGTGGAAAGACAAAATGGAGAGTACTGGGTTATAAGGAGCCAGGTATTCTAGGGTAAGGAATTTGGGATTTTAATTAAAGCAGAAAGGGTCCCCTACTCTTTCCCCTTGGGATATACCCTGGAGAATGAGAAAATGATTTTAAAAGAAAAAAATATATTTTAAATTTGGAAGAAAAAAAAAAAGAAGCAGAAGGACAACAGAGTGAAATCTATTCAAGATAGGGCAAAATGAAGTTAGTTTTAATAAATGCTTTTATCAATGACCTAGGAAGGAAACAGGCTAGAATAGAGTTTCCCTAGGAAAAGCAACTTATCAGAAGTCACATTCAGTTTTTTTTTTCTGTTGCCTTCTTGAACATAGATGACACTTGACAGTTTTTAATATAAACATTTTAGAAATATGTTTTAGAGGCCGGGCAGGATGGCTCACACCTGTAACCCCAGCACTTTGGGAGGCCGAGGTTGGCTGATCACCTGAGGTCAGGAGTGTGAGACAAGCCTGACCAACATGGAGAAATCCTGTCTCTACTAAAAATACAAAATTAGCCAGGCATGGTGGTGCTGCATGTAATCCCAGCTACTTGGGAGGCTGAGGCAGGACAATCAATTGAACCTGGGAGGCGGGGGTTGCAGTGAGCTGAGATCATGCCATTGCACTCCAGCATGGGCAACAAGAGCGAAACTCTCTCAAAAAACATATATATATGTTTTAGAAATGATGCCTCCAGGCCAGGCTCGGTGGCTCACACCTGTAATCCCAGCACTTTGGGAGGCTGAGGCAGGTGGATCACCTGAGGTTGGGAGTTCGAGATCAGCCTGGCTAAAATGGTGAAACCCCATCTCTACTAAAAATAGAAAAATTAACTAGGTGTGGTGACAGGTGCCTGTAATCCCAGCTACTCGGGAGTCTTAGGAAGGAGAATCTCTGGAACCCGGGAGGCAGAGGTTGCAGTGAGCTGAGATCTTGCCACTGCACTCTAGTCCATACGACAGAGCAAGACTCCATCACAAAAGAAAAGATATGATGCTTCCTATAAACAAGAAACTAATAAGTGGTTACCTAGAGAGCTGGAGGACATGTAATTTGCAGTGTGCTGTTTCTAATTTTTAAATTATAGGCCGGGTGCGGTGGCTCAAGCCTGTAATCCCAGCACTTTGGGAGGCCGAGATGGGTGGATCACGAGGTCAGGAGATCGAGACCATCCTGGCTAACACGTTGAAACCCCGTCTCTACTAAAAAAAAATACAAAAAAAACCAGCCGGGCGACGTGGCGGGCGCCTGTAGTCCTAGCTACTCCGGAGGCTGAGGCAGGAGAATGGTGTAAACTTGGGAGGCGGAGCTTGCAGTGAGCTGAGATCCGGACACTGCACTCCAGCCTGGGCGACAGAGCCAGACTCTGTCTCAAAAAAAAAAAAAAATTATATGGATGTTTCTCCTATTAATAATAATATTAAGTTTCTGAAAAAAGAATGTATTATTACTTGCATCAGAAAAACAATACCTTTGTGTGAAAAGTAGATTTCTAGTAAAAGCTGCTTTTTTTAATCTTAATACTTTTTTCCAAAAACAGAGTACATACTGATTTGCAATGAACTGCTTTTAGACCTAAGAATAAAAAGTCAAGCCATATATCAGCCACATATCTCTAATTCCATATCTATCTAAATCAAATTTTCTGGAGTCCTTTGAATTTTCCTACATTCAAAACATTTTTTAATTGGATTCTAGCAATTGTATTTTTAAGCTATGGGGATGTCATTTTCCTGGATGTTGGAGATGATCATAATCTAGGTTTTGAGGATAAATATTACAGCTCTCATGATACTTTTTAAGGATTTTTTTCTGCTTGTTATGTGGCTACAACAATTTAAGGATTCTACTAAGATTAATACCTGTCATTTGCTGGGTAATATTCATAGAAATATGAATGAGCATAAAAATGGAATTCCTTTACTTATTTTTTGCATTCTATTTTGTACCAGTTTTTATTGAAATATCCACATATATTATGGCTATTTTACATTCACATTTACTGCGTTTTTCTGCTTGTTACGCACTTTTTGCTGATACAGTCTCTCTATCTATATATGCTGGTTAGAAATTCATTCGTTCTATTTGGGCTGTTTCTTGGTTAATAGTATTCACTTAGAAAAAGAAAAAGTAGATATTATTCAGTTTCCTAATGTTGCATGTATGGTAGTAGCTTTAGTTAGTAATTTACTACATTCTGATGCTAGCTACATACCCCAGTTTTCATTAATATCTATATATTGTTTTAATTCCATGATTTTTTTTTTTTTTTTTTTTGAGACGGAGTCTCGCGCTGTCACCCAGGCTGGAGTGCAGTGGCCGGATCTCAGCTCACTGCAAGCTCCGCCTCCCGGGTTCACGCCATTCTCCTGCCTCAGCCTCCCGAGTAGCTGGGACTACAGGCGTCCGCCACCTCGGCCGGCTAGTTTTTTGTATTTTTTTTAGTAGAGACGGGGTTTCACCGTGTTAACCAGGATGGTCTCGATCTCCTGACCTCGTGATCCACCCATCTCGGCCTCCCAAAGTGCTGGGATTACAGGCGTGAGCCACCGCGCCCGGCCTAATTCCATGATTTTATGTTTTTAATTATTTTGTCTGTTTTTTCAGAACTTACTATATCTTCATTATAAGCCATATGTAATCTATCACTTTTATTCATGTATGAATTATCACTGTTATTATTTTATAACTACTTTATAGACAAGCAGCCTGAAGCTCAGAGTTTAACTAGCTTTTTTCTTTCAAAAAGCATTTCTTGGCTGGGCGTTGTGGCTCACGCCTGTAATCCTAGCACTTTGGAAGACCAAGGCAGGCAGATAATCTGATGCCAGTGGTTCCAGACCAGCCTGGGAAACATGGCAAAACCTCGTCTCTATTAAAAATGCAAAAAGTTAGCCAGGCACAGTGGCATGCACCTATAATCCCAGCTACTCAGGAGACTGAGGCATGAGAATTGCTTGAGCCCAGGAGGCGGAGGTTGCAGTGAGCTGAGATCAAGCCACTGCACTGCAGCCTGGGTGACAGAGTAAGACTGTCTCAATTAAAGAAAAAAAAAAAGCATTTCTATCAGGTAGTTATTTTGACTTATGATAAAAAGCCAGGCTTGAAGAGGGCAAAGAATGACCTTTTAGATTTACCAATGGCCTGGGTTAAATATAAAGTCTGGGACATGTCACATGACCTGCAGAAGCAAAATGTGACACTAAGGATTATAAAGGTAATAGCTGTACTGTATTCTAGTAGATCAAAAAAAAAAATGCCATATTAAAAGTTCTGATTTCCTAGTTTCTGGTCGATGCTAAGAGAAAAGACTCCTGGCAAGGAAGTCAGGTTCTGTAAACTGGTAATGATATTAACATAATGGTAAAACTTAAACAGGTCAATCTGACCTCTCTCAGACTCATAAAATGAAATGTTAGAACATCTCTAAGGACCTCCTAGTTCTAAAATGCTCCAATTCTAGGAAATAGTTATGAGTCTATACTAACCCAGATTCAAGGGAAAGATAGGGAAGGGAGAAGGTTGCTTCTAGCCTAGGAAATAATGTACGAACCCAGACCACTTGGGTCTTCACATCTGTGTCCAAGTCAGAAGAGAACCAAACTGCCTCAGCACTCATGGCCATCATAAACTGTTTGGCTTTTGGTATCTCAGTGAGTATTGGTATTACAGGCTTCCTGATTGCAACAACCTTAAGATAATGCTGTTCTTCAAATAAGTGAGAATTTTTCAGTCTCATCGGTTTTTTTCATCTCTCTCTTGTTTCCTACAGAAGATTTCCAAAATACGTCTTTACCTGGAACTGCAAACTCTCTGCAGCTCTCTCTTCCTGTGGTGAGCAATGTGGCTTCCTTAACAGGAAGCATCTCCAACTTCTCCAGAGCCTCTGCTCCAGCCATCAGCTCAGCATGGCTACAGCCATCAGCCTCTGGCACCTCCTTCCAGCCAATCATGGGCAGTGCCTACCTTTATCAACATTCTAGCACAACTATGTTGTCTGGGGTTACTGGCATGTTGTCTGGGGTTACTGGCCAGAGCCATATCTCTACTTCAGCTGCCTCTTATCCAGGCATTTTTGAGTGGGATAGTACAGCAAGCACAGCAAAGAAGTCATCCTCACTCAGGGACTTCACTGTGACTGTCATTGACCAGAATACAGCTGTCTCTTCCATGTCTATGACAGCCCAGTATGATAAAACTTCAGATACCAATACTGTGGTCCCTCTGTATCCATCACTATCTGCCAGCCTTGTTCAGGGCACACTAACTCAAATTCCAAATCAGCAGGGCCATAGCCTGTCACTTCCCTACCAGATAGGAAGTCAGGTCTATTACTATAATCAAGGCACACTGGGACCTCAACTATCCTGCCTGCAATCCTATGGCTCTGTGTCATACACAGGATATAGGGCTTCTGCCCATCAACCAGAAATGGTGATGGTGCTAAAGGAGGTTCAGCCCACAAATGTCCTACCACCAGTCTCTACTTCTGGGATGTATTACTCTGTGTCTACTCAACCCATCACAGAAACCAGTGTTCAAGGTGAGTACAAACAGCAAGAAAGGAGAGAAATAATGTCAGCATTGAAAAAGAGGGTCAAATCTGTAGCTGTGTGATGAGTCCACGGATAGGTAGAATTTAAGTCCTGAGACTTCAACCACTATTCTTGGGCAGTGCCCTCCATTTGCAGACTCTATGTGAGAACACCTTATAGGTGGGAAAGTGGAACACTATAATGGCCATCTATGCTACATGTAAGAGAGTCCCAAGAGCATACTCAGGGATACATTGTTTAGTGCCCTGATCGATCACTTCCTCTGCACTACCACGCTGTAATATCCTTCCTTAATCTATTACTTTAGTCTCTTTGGAAGACACTTCAGAACTCTTATTTTGGCAGTGACATTTTGATTTTCCTTAACTTACAATAGGATTTAAGACCTTGTGTTGGCCGGGCGCGGTGGCTCAAGCCTGTAATCCCAGCACTTTGGGAGGCCGAGACGGGCGGATCACGAGGTCAGGAGATCGAGACCATCCTGGCTAACACGGTGAAACCCCGTCTCTACTAAAAAATACAAAAAACTAGCCGGGCGCGGTGGCGGGCGCCTGTAGTCCCAACTACTCGGGAGGCTGAGGCAGGAGAATGGCGTGAACCCGGGAGGCGGAAGCTTGCAGTGAGCTGAGATCCGGCCACTGCACTCCCGCCTGGGCGGCAGAGCGAGACTCCGTCTCAAAAAAAAAAAAAAAAAAAAAAAAAAAGACCTTGTGTTGAGAGATCCTCTCCAAAACAAACAGGCTCAGAATCTGTGCTTGCTTATATATTTCATGAGGAAGGGCTCCACTCTTTCCCCTAGTCCATGGTGTAAAGTGTTCTTATTCTCTCAGGAGAGTGGAGAGAATTGAAAGGACCCTATAAGAATGTGAGGCTTTATAAAACATCTCCTATTTTAAAAATCACTTTCACTTTTTGACTTACAACAACCCTATGAAATGCAAAGAAAACCAAGAAACAATCACATCAAATGATAACCAGTAAGAGAACAGTCACTGCCAATCTCCTAATACAGGTCTTGTCCATGGTCCTTAAGAAGAGCTAGTAGAAATGCCTTGCCCATGTTGGAAAGGTATCCGATTGCCGCATTGGTGTGTAGGGGGAGCATCTCACTTACCAGAGACTGACTTCTTCCTTGATTCCTTTGTAGTGATGGAAACTTCCCTGGGGATGGATACTTCCCTGGGATTGCAATCTCCAAGCCAGACATTTTGTCTGCCACAAACTCAAGAATTCTCCAAGTCCTTCAGTAGCAGAAATACCCAGATACTTGAGAGTAACCCATCACCTGAGCTTGGGGACATTTCAATGATAACTCCAGTCCAGAGTCCTACTAATCTCTTGACACTGTCTCCAGTTCCAAGCCAGGAAAAAAATGAGAATGAGAATTTGGATGAGATTAAAACCAACCTTTCAAAGCCTCTAGATGTCTACCAGATCCTAATAGGAAATCAAGATCCTCCACTACTTCCTTTAGAAATCCCTGATATTCACCCACTTCTGGCCTGCATTGATCCTCTTGGCCAAGAGGAGCAGCCTGGTTCTGAAAATGCCGATCTAAGAAATAACAGCCTGAGTCTTGAAGACCAAGGGATATTTGAAAATGAGATTGAGTCTAGCAGTGATTTGGCAGACATCACTACATTGGTGGAGGATACTCACCTCCCCCCAATCTTCAGTTCCTTACAGGATCTTGACCTACCCAAAAGTCCCTCAGCAAAGACAGCCAAAGATACCAGTGCCATCAAGGTAAATCAGGTGCAGGAAAAGTCATGTGTCATAAAGGGTCACTCTGATCAAGACAGGAAGAACAAGCATAAAGCTTCCGAGCCTATCCAGGGTGCTCCGAAGGCCAAAATCCAGCCAAAGAACCCAGAGTGCCTATTAGAGGGAGAAGTGGTTGTTTGCAGTGCTACAGTCAGTGACAGTGCTTCTGTGAACAAGGCCAAGCATTCTAGCAACAAACCTCACAAAGCTGCATCCAGCAGGATCAGCAAAGCGAAGAGCCATGGGCAGGAAAAGACCAAAGGGAACAGAAAAAACAGCTCCAAGAAATCTGAAGAGAGTAAGCAGTCAGGGAACAACATCAAGGTAGAAGAGAAGCAAACCATTCCCAATATGAAGCGGAAGAAAAATCAACCTGAGCTTAGCCAAGAGACCTTTAAAAAGCCCCGAAGCTCCCTGGGCATGCACATGCTGGAGTCCGTGCAAGTTTTCCATGCACTCGGGAAAAAGATCGATAAGAAAACTGGATTCTCTTCCTCCAGGACCCTGGGAAGCTCAAGCAACACCCAAAACCACCAGCCATTCCCAGCTCTCAAACCATGGCTGGATACCCAACGTGAGGGTAAAGGCCCGGAGAAAATTCAAGTCAAGGCCCAGAAACTAGATGATAGTGCTGAAAAAGAGTGTCCATCTCCATCCCACTCTGAGTTGCCACCACCTGGGAAGGTCAAGTTGATACCTTTGCCCTTTCTGGCCCTGGACAAACCTCAAGCTCGACCTGTTTCTCGGCGGCCAAACCCTCCAGCCTCACGTAAGCCTGCTGTGGCTTACCCTGCTCAACCTGATTCTACTAACTCAGCTCAATCGACTGCAGTCAATCCATCCCGACCAGCTCCTAGCAACACATCTTTGCCAGGTCCTGCCACACCAGCTCCGCCAATTTCGACCAAAGCAACCCAACCTGGTTCAGCCAACCCTACCCAGCCTACTGTCCCTCAATCTGCAGTTTCTAGGCCATCACTCTACAAAACATCATCTTGTACTTCTCTGCATCGGGAGCCTGTTTCCACTGCTGTGACCAATCTCCAGTCACTGCCCAAGCCTCAAAATCAATTTCTAATCCAAGACTTCAGCTTCCAACCCCGTCCATGGAGGAAACCCACTGTTCCTGAGCCAGTGATGTCAACGCCTATCACAGAAGAGCAGAGGCCAGAGCGTGAGGCCATGAAGAGAAAGGCTCAACAAGAGCGTGAGAATGCGGCCAAATACACCTCTCTGGGGAAGGTGCAGTTTTTCATTGAAAGGGAAAGAGAGATGGAAATTGCTGAATACTATGGCTACACAATCTAAGAGCTGAGATTGTTGGTTTTACTTTGGATACCGCTGGTTTTCCACATATATAGATAGATACTAATTTATTTATTCTGATATATTTTTAAAACATAATAAAGAAATGTAATAGAATTGATTAATAGATAAGTAATAAAGAGGCCTTTTCAGTTTTGAGATGCTGTTGACTGTGAGTTTTCTTTGGTGTGGGGGTGGGGATCAAAGATTGCATTAGAAAGAAGGAACTATGGCCAGGTGCAGTGGCTCATTCCTATAATCCCAGCACTTTGGGAGGCCGAGGTGGGTGGATCACCTGAGTTCAGGAGTTCGAAACCAGCCTGGCCAACATGGTGAAACTACAAATACAAAAATACAAACTAAAAACTAAAAATACAAAAATTTAGCTGGGTGTGGTGGCGGGTGCCTATAATCCCAGCTTCTCAGGAGGCTGAGGCAGGAGAATCACTTGAACCCGGGTGGTGGAGGTTGAAGCGAGCCGAGATCATGCCACTACACTCCAGCCTGGACAACAGAGCAAGATTCTATCTCAAAAAAAAAAAAAAAAAAAAAAAAAAAGGAAGGAACTAAAAGTTGGATGGGAGAATAGACAGAAAGGGATAAGAATTGAGGAAACAGGAAGGAACATAGTCCAGGACTGAGAAGGTCAAATGGGGAGAGATTTTATGGGCTTATACAAGGAATCAGAAATGGGGAAAATGGTAGAAGTAAGATGCAGAATCTGAGGATAGGACTAAAAGAATAAAATTTGGATATAAGTTGAAGATGGCAGAAGATGAGGCTGGGTGGACCAAAATGAATGTACAAAATCTCCCATGGATGATGGCCTTATGTCTCATAGCCTAGCAGATAGGTATTTCAGAAAATAAGATTCAGGACTCATCAACAGGTTTGGGTTACCTTATACATACATGATCACAGTTGGGAAAGTGAGCACAAAACATAGGGGAAATCTACCAGGGGAATGGCAAGGGCTCACAGCTCTCCAAGGTGCAGCTGATAACCGGGGGCCCAGCCAAGTGAACTGCAGCAGCATGAAGCTGGCCCAGGACAGACCCCAGAGTATGGATCTCCATTTATTCAACCAACACCTATGCACGGGGCAGTGAGACGCACTACTTCAGTTCACCTTCACAACACCACACAAGACCAGTAACACTGTGCCACTTTACTAGTGAGGTTCAGCAATGGGCTTGGGTCACTCTGCATGCAAAGGGGGAAGGCCTGTGGGTCTCCGAAGTCCTCAGCGTTTGCAAGCGCCTGCAGGCAGCCAGCCTGGCTTTCAGAACACGGCATCCAGAGGTTACAGGCAGAGGAAATCAAGCTTCTGGAGGGACTTAAATATTAAGAGGCCTGCCAGATCCTCCTCTACCCATTCCAGTACGTGCAGCCTTCTCGGCCATCACCATTAACTGAAGTACACGAGAAAAAAACGGCTTGGAGCGTCCATTTTCACAGGATGAGTGGTGGGCGCGCATGCGCCCTGGGTCCCCCTCCGAAAACCGCAAGACGCAGGCGCCCAGCTGTCCAGAGACGCTCCTTAGCGGGAGGGGGGCCCCCCTTGCGAGGCACAGGGGGAGGTAGAAAGGGTTGGGGGCGCTGGGGGGAGGGCAGGAGAGGAATGGGTGGGGGAAGGGAAGATGGGGGCAGTGGATGGTCACCATGGGAAAATCAGTAATTCACTTTTTAAAAAATTAGTTTCTGATACATAATTCACCTAACAAAAATTCACCGTTCAAAATCCGTACGATGCGGCCGGGAGCGGCTGTGTTCCCAGCACTTTGGGAGGCTGAGGCAAGCAGATCACTTGAGGTCAGGAGTTCGAGACCAGCCTGGCCAACATGGTGAAACCCCGTCTCTAATAAAAATACAAAAATTAGCCTGGCGTGGTGGTGTGTACCTGTAATCCCAGCTACTCAGGAGGCTGAGGCACAAGAATCGCTTGAACCTGGGAGGGGGAGCTGGCAGTGAGCCGAGATCGTGCCACTGCACTCCAGCCTGGGTAACAGAGCAAGACTCAGTCTCAAAACAAAAATCGTACAATTCAGTGGCATTTAGTATGTTCACAAGGTTGTACAATCATTACAACTATCTGCATTAACTTTTCATCATCCCCTGCAAGAAAACCCTCTACTCATTAGCAGTCACTCCTCATTCCCTCCTCCCTCTGGCACCAGGCAACCACCAATCTCTGGATTTACCTTTTCTGGACATTTCATACAAATGGAATCATACAACATGTGACCTTTGGTATCTGGCTTCATTTAGTACTATATTTTAAAGGTTTATCTATAAGCTGTAGTGTGTATCTGAACTTTATTCCTTTTCATACTGCATACTATTCTTATTGTATGACTACACCACATTGGCTTATCCATTCATCCGTTACTAGACATTTGGGTTGTTTCCACCAGCACTTTATATTTATTGAGAGTTTATTCTGTGCCTGGCAGCACCTGGCTAAGTTATTCACCCCATTTCACAGATAAGGAGGTAGAGAATCTGAAGAATTTTTGCCCAAGATTAAGAGCTAGCTAGCAACTGCTAGCAATAGTTCGGATTTGAACACAGGCATTTTAGACTTCAAAGGTAATAGATTCACATGATAGAACATTGAAAAGACACAAAATGGTGACAATGGAAATTCACCCTTTCCCCAAGTTTCCCAGCCACCACCTACCCCTCCCTTAGAGGCATCTACTTTTGCCACTTTAAGGATTCTTCCAGATAAATTATTTTTACCCCAACATGTACGTATTACGATTTACTGAATAATCTGTCCCATTGATGTGAAATGTCACTTTTATGGTATACTATGTTTCTATGTGTTTGCATTACTCTTTTCAGAACTGTCCTGACTTTTTTGCCTATCTTTTATATTTGCTATTTCTCTAGAATCCTTTTTATTATCTTCTTTTTGATTTTTAAAAATTTCTTCTTTTTTAAAGGCATTATCCATTATGTTAATTCTTTTTTTTTTTTCTTTTTTTTTTTGAGGCAGACTCTCACTCTGTCACTAGGCTAGAGAGCACTGGTGCCACCTCGGTTCACAGCAAATTTCACCTCCTGGGTTCAAGCAATTCTCATGCCTCAGCCTCCTGAGTAGCTGAGATTACAAGCGCACATCACCACGCCTGTCTAATTTTTTTTCTTTCTTTTTTTTTTTTTTTCCCTGAGACAGGGTTTCGATCTTGTTGCCCAGGCTGGAGAGCAATGGTGCGATCTCGGCTCACCACAACCTCTGCCTCCTGGGTTCAAGCGATCCTCCTGCCTCAGTCTCCCGAGTAGCTGGGATTGCAGGCATGTGCCACCATGCCTGGCTAATTTTGTATTTTTAGTAGAGATGGGGTTTTGCCATGTTGGTCAGGCTGGTCTCAATCTCCTGATCTCAGGTGATCCACCCGCCTCGGCTTCCCAAAATGCTGGGATTACAGGTGTGAGCCACCGCACCCGGCCTAATTTTTGTATTTTTAGTAGAGACAGGGTTTTGCCACGTTGGCCAAGCTGGTCTTCAACTCCTGACCTCAACTGATCCGCCCACCTCGGCCTCCCAAAGTGCTGGGATTACAGGTGTTTTTTAAAACGTAGCCACCATGCCCAGCCTGTTCATTCTTGTGTTCTTTTTAGTTTAGTCTTCTTTTCTGAAGTTTTTCTTTTGTTTTTAATTCTGTTCTGAGTTCTACCATCTCACCTAATTTTGATTTATATGTTCTCTCACCCTTTTTATTGCAGTAAAATACACATAATGTAAAATTTACCATTTTAACCATTTTAAGCATACAATTCAGTGGCATTAAGTAGATTCACACTGTTGTTCCACCATTACCTCTACCCATCTCTAGAACTTTTTCATCATCCCAAACACAAACTCTGTACAGTACTCATTCAGTAACTTCCCTTCCTGCCCCCTATGGTCCTTTCATCTTTTGCATTGTTTTTTCCTAATGTCTTTTAGCTAGTTTTCAAATAGCGGGTTACTCTTTGGATCAGCTTGTGGGCCTGTCTTTTCTGACTTGCTTTTATTGTCTGAGAGGATGCTGTTCTGCTGCTTATTCTCTTTTTTCTTATAATACCTTTGTATGGGATTTGACTACGATCCTTTTCTGTTATTCATTTTTAGATGAAATTGATTTTTCTGCACTTTGAAAAGGAGGTGTTAAGGATAACTTTTCTAAAACTTCCCCAAACTTCTCTTTTTTAAAAATGTAGTATCAAATGACATGATGGTTTGCTTTTTGAGATTTCCCAGCTCTGTTTCCCTCCTTGATTTTTATCCTTTGTATCTGTTGTTCCTCCCAGTAGTTTGTCCTCTGTGTGGGGCCGCATCCTGGAAAGGAGCTCTGGCTGCTCGGGCTCAAGAGTGGGAAGGGATTAGACTGCTTCACTGCTTCAGAGTCTATCACAGGTCCCTTGTACTTACTCACTTTGTGACTGGGCAAAAAAAAAACCCTCAGAGTTTCAGCTGCTGTTCTCACATTGGCCCATGGTACTTTCCAGTGAACTTCTGCTGGCAGTTTGAAGGCATCCTGTCTGCCACTCCCTCCTGTGTGGATGCCATACCAGGCAAGTCTGGTGACCATTGGTGATGGTTTGCCCCACCCTCTTGTTTTGGGGTTCATAGGGAAAACTGTCATCTAGTTTTGTGGTAAAGGCTACTCATGGGTTTTTTGTTTGGTTTGATCTATTTCCATGAGAGGATTTGAGGAGATTCAAAACAACACTGCTGCCTCCATCTTTCTAAAATCCTGCTCAATCTTTTGACATAATTATTTTAAACATGGGAACCCTGTAGTTCTCTGTTCCCTTAAGTAGAGCTCCATTTGCCCCAAACTAGTTAAGACTCTGAGTCAGACAAGGCTTGCTGAGTCTCCTCTCTCTAACATGGCACCTCTGTACTTGCTCAGTTCATATTTTGAGTAAGAAGTCAAAACACAACAGCCTAAAGGGCTCATGGGTGGACAATCTGGAGAAAGGCCCTGGTCAGAATGTATATCATTTCCTTCTCTTTGTATCTTCTTTCCTAAACATGTATAAAATTGAATCTCCCATCTGCCTTCCTCCCCCCACAAAAAAAACCTGGTTCATACACAATTTTCTTTATCTCAGTTCATGGTAATGCCATTTTTCCAGTTGCTTGGGGCAGGAAACTTTGAAGTCAT